TTAACGGTGTTAAGGTCAAAGATTGGAAAACAACGGCGAGGGTCACATTGAGACAATTTTTCAGGTACATGGGGGCAAATCGATGCAATCAAGAGTAAAATGAGATAAAGTGATATTGAGAGGGAGGGAAAAGGGGAAATTTATTTACCGTTAAGTAATTTATGGCACTCTTAATATCAAATTTTAGACGAAGATATTGAAACATGTATATAGCCTATAAGTAGGTTGGCCAACCTTTGAGAGATGGATCGATTGTGGCTTGCGCGCAATATATTGTTCCCTCTCGTTGAGGATCTTACTTCCTCGACTCGTTCCTTTTGACTTGCGTCACCTTTTTAATATTTTCATCTCATTGTCGTCGTGAATTACCTATATCTCAGAGCTCTTTAACTATTTATGTGGATCACTATTTGCGTCACAAACAGTTAATTTAGGACATTATTTGTGTCGTCACTATTTGCATCACAAACAGTCAATAAGACATTAGGGGGCTAGATCTCAATGAAAATCACGGTTGGGAGATAATAAGTTGTGTACATTGAATTATATATAGAGATTCCAATTTTTTTATAAAAATAAAACAAAAAGTAAAAGGATCACCCGTTGTTACTTTGAGTGAGTATCGACACATTGATTTGGATCACAGTGGATTTCCCGATTTGGCCAATTTTGCCCAGTATAATGAGTGGAAAATGATTGTGGGAAGATAAGTACGTACAGTGTATACAATAAAAGGTGTCGGCTATGCTGCACGTACACTTTTAGAAGGTGAAGAGTCCTTGTATTCGATAGGGCGCAGGGGCGGACCCAAGGGGTTTTCTCGGGGGGGCTGAAATATAGGTGTAATTTAAGAGAGGATTTTTTTTTTTGTTTTTGGGGACTAAAGTGTACAAAATTAAAAATTTGGGGGCGAAAGTGCATTAACTAATACATAAATAACCAAAAAAAAAAAGCTTAAAAAAATTATTGGGGTGCGGGGGCCACCCCAGCCATAAGTATAGGCACGCTCCTGCCTGGACACCCAGACACGGCTCGGACACCCGTGTCGGACCGTGTCGTTATTTGGCTAAAAGTAGGACACCTGTGTCGGGCAGTGTCCGCAATTTTAAAAAAGTTGGGACACGACTCTTATATTTTAAGAGAAAACCCTAACAAAAAATACACATTTTTTTTTCTATGTAACACATATTTCTTATGTCTTCTTTAAGAGTCCACCCAAAAGTCCAAAACTCTAGCGATAACGGCGACCAAGAACACGAATAACAAGGGTGAGCGGAACACTTATGGGATTTGACGACTTATAAATATATTTTTACAATTTTAAATGTACTCTTATATTTTTATATTGTATAAATATATCCCTAGATTTTTTGAAATGCCGTATCACCGTTATCTGTATCCACGTATCGTCATGTCGGCTGACACAAATGGAGAGTTTTCTCAGGTCAGGCTAACGGCTCCCATTAAATTTGTGAAGTGAGGATTTAAAGTTTGAAAGTCAAATGTTGTTTTGACTTTCAAACAATTTTGATCTCTCTCATTGCTCATTGATCGGTTCTGTGTAGGGGACACACTCCACATATATATTTACTAATAATAGCAATCAGAAGTCAACCCTAATACGTTTCCATATATACCTGTCCACAATTATATCTTCGTTTTCGGATATTACTTACAAACAGTTTGTCACGATTATATAACTACTTATAAAAATTGACTGAAAATAATTATATAAATAGATAAGGTAAAACGATCAAAATAGTTATATATATAAATAATATGTCATAACGAAAATTATATGTTCAAAAAATAGTTATATAAATAAATAAATAATATATTTTTTATTCAAAAAAATAATCTATAATAAAATTCAATTATAAATAGTATACTTTCATTAATTCTCCACTATATATATATATATATATATATATATATATATATATATATATATATAGTAAGTTTTAAAACCATATAAACAATTGACTTAACAAAGAATCATGAGTTACATCTAATTAATATACATTAATAAATTTGAGATTGATGAAATTCTACAAAATTGGTGAATACTAAGAATAA